TAATTTTTGCCATTAATAAGGATTTTTATGACATTTTTTCATTACATGTATATTACCATCAATCTTGTGTTTGTGTTTACGGTGATGTTCTGTAAAGAAACGTTTGAAAAAAAAATCGCTAAAGTTTGCTTGCGGATAGCACTGATTGCACAATATTAGGAAATATATTTTTATGTCATATAACGTTACCCGGTAACTGACTGCATGTGGTAACGCGTTGTTTTGTTTTGCTTACGGCCATATGTACTACATACGTATAACAGTGTAGTAGTGGTGTCCCATTTCTTAGGGGAAATTTTTTAACCCTACCCCTTTCCACTTCATTTCAAGGGGCAAGGGGAAGGGGTGAGGGGTAGGCAAAGGGGTAGAAAATAGAATTGGGATTGGGCCTTAGTCTCACTATCGCTGAGAACAACTCAAAATCACTGTATCACGCTGGCTGGGGAAGGAACCACCAAAATGTAGCTTCATTTTAGGAAATAACCCCCCTAGGAGACTTTATTTCCAATAAATAAAGGATCTGGGGCTACTGACAAGCAACAATGATTGGACTGAGTGACACAGGACTGGGAACTACTTAAATACATTACTAATGATGCAGATAATGAGAGGCAGGTGGAAGTGATTAACACAAGCGTTAGGCATGAGAGGCAAGACAAACATGTAACAGCATGGCTTGTTACGGTAACGTAGGGAGGAGACAGGAGGAAATGGGCTGTACATGCATGCAAGACACCCTTCAAACATTACACAGCTTGAGGAATTCTGCATTGAAGAGTGGGGAAAGTCTTCTGCCAGTCAGTGTCAGAGATTGATAGATGGTTATACTGTAGGAAATGCCTCATTGAGGTTATTTCAGCCAAAGGGGGAAATACTAGGTATTAGGGCATAGGGTGGTAATTAGCATTTTAATTAATTTCTCTTGTTAAATAAGTGAATTTGTTTCTTGTTTTTGCATAGATGATGCAATTACATTACCTTTATCTACAAATATAATTTGAAAGAAGACTTAATACTGATATGTTGATATTTCTTATTAAAGAACTAAATATTTTATGGGGTGTACTACTTTTTCCACGACTGTATGTGAAATATCCTTAACAAACAGTATTGCCAACACAAGAATATGGCCAAACATAGGCAAAGAATACAAATATACAGGGGATGTGCATGGCTTAGCAAATTAGGTTTGTGTATGAACAGAAGGTCGGCGGTTCAAATCCTGTGGAAGGCAGAGTGGTTGCCCTGCTTTCTCAGTAGTACATTGCTTTAATAATCAATACTTTATTGATCCCCATGGGGAAATTGTCTTTACGCCTCCCTCAATTTACTCTATTTTGTAGAGTAAGTTGTCCGCAAAGGGCAGCCACCCATAGTGGCCCCCAGGGAGCTGGGGTTTACGGGCCTTGCTTAAGGACCCACAGACATGTTGAGGATGGGTTTGAACTGGCAACCTTCTGATTACAGGCACACAGGCTTTGCCCACTGAGCCACACACTCAATAGACACGTCTGCTATATATGTAAAATACAGAACTTATGGTTAAAGCAGCAACTAAATTTTGTGCCTGGTGATCTCAGAAATCTTTTCATCATACATAGTGATGCTTGGACATGTCAGCTACAATATGTTCTCAGGAGCTTCAGAAAACCCCCTTATTACCCACCATTCTCTGCCCTGCCAGGGAAAAGCGTCTGTATCACCACAACACAGACATTGAGTCATGTTGTGTTGCTGCTCAGTGCTTATTGATGTAGAACCTGACAAGAGAACACACCTTTTGTTCACTGTGATGACAAACCTGGAATGTTATCATTAGCAAAAAAAGGATTTAGTTTTTTCTGTTTACAACTGAAAAGCTATTTATTTTCTTTGTAGGCATATCATTTCATTTCCATGAAAAGGACGATTCAAAGCACGACCCGTCATTTTTGCTCTCAGGTCTGGGATCTATGATAAGGTCAGCGGGCTAATCTTCTGTGCCTGTGAGTAGAAGGTTGCTGGTTCCAGCCCAGCCTTGGCTAAACAGCCACATGTTTGTGGGCCCTTGAGCAAAGCCATTGGGCAATAGCTCCTTAGGTGCAGTGAGGCGGCTGAGCCTTCTTTCACATGCTTGTGTGTCTCATGAAGATGGGGTGAAAAGAATATCCCCATGGGCATTAATGAAGTATCGCTGTTAATGAACAAACTAATTGTTCTTTGGTATATTGTTCTTAATATACCGTTGTGAAAACCTTAGTTTGAGTCCAAAGTATTATATTAAAACAAATGACAATTAAACTAACTAACTGTAAATAATAGTGTACCGTATCATCTTAAGGAGCTTTATTTGTTGTTTCCACTCACAGCAGACATTTAAGACCCATGATTTGGCTGTTTTTTCAGTAATGTCAGTATGCCCAGGGGGGTTTTTCATGTTTTTTTTTCTCCCTACTTGGGAGTTTTTGGTTTTTCTCCTCCATTGTCTTCTGGCTTTCTTTAGTCAAATTCTTTCCATCCTTTTTCCTGCTCTGT